GCTAAAATATAATGTGATTTGTGTTTTTTTTGGGGTACATTTCAAATCTATTTCCATAGAATAATAATGATAAAATAACCGGTATAGGGCCTTTCACGTCGGGAGAACATCTTACAACATTTACTGGAAAGTGTAGTTACTGTGTATTTTGCAGATGATATGGTTCTTGAACCACATTTTGCAAAAGAACACATGGACCATGGTCACCGAGTTTAAATCCTTGCTTGTAAAGATATTTTTCAGATAGAGCTTTCATACTTTGTTAAAAACGCTCTAAAAATATCGCGAGTTATTTTCGCGCATCTTTCATAAACATGTGGAGTCCTGTAGCTCAGTGGTTAGAGCACTCGCTTTGCAAGTGAGAGACCTGAGTTCAATTCCAGGCAGAGGGCGAAACCTTGGGCAAGTTTCCTTACTCCACACAGAGCCTAATAATAATCCCTCCAAAAAAACAAAAACAATAATAAATTGAGCATTTTCAATCTACGACTGTTTGTGGGACATTGCTGTGCGCAATTGGCTGCCGCGTTCGCCCACACATATACAGTCAATTCACTTTACAGTGTGTTCTGTGAAGCGCTTTGGGACGTCCTCCCGACGTGAAAAGCGCTATATCAAATGCAAGGATTATTATTATTATTATTATTCATGAGTTACACCGAAATCCAGTCAAACAGATCTCCACAGGGCACTTGGTTTGCACGACCGGTTTGGAGATCCCATTTCTTTTGGTAAGGTTTGCTTTTAACCACAATGCAAAGGTTAAAAGCAAACCTCCTTGAGGGGGAGGGAGGGGGTGAGAGGGAGGGGGGGGGGGGACACACCCGTGTCAGGGGGAGAGGTTTGCAACAAAGACTGAATTAAGAACGAGAGATCTGGTCCTTTTATAACTTTAAATAGCCAACGTCTTAACTCTTGGCCGAATGCAAAGGATCATCAGAGGGTGTCAGTGTGTGCTGTGGGGGAGAGTACTCCTCGCTGTCGTCTGGAGTGAAGTGTGTCATTTCCTCTCCGTCATGTGGGATCCCCTGTGTGTTCATAACTGGAGGCTTTCCCCACATCTCACACCAATCTTTCATCGCGAAGCCTCGATGTCCGATTGAAATCAACACGTGAGGAAGGAGCTCCGCGAGTAAAAAGCTGCTGCCCGTGCCCTGGCATCAGTGATCCTGGCGAGTTCAGCTGTGGGGCACCAGGCAGGGCAGGGAGGGCAGGGAGCGCAGGGCAGGGCAAGGAGGGCAGGGCAGGGAGGGCAGGGCAAGGGAAGGAGGGAGGGAGGGAGGGAGGGAGGGAGGGCAGGGCAAGGCAGGGAGGGAGGGAGGGAGGGAGGGAGGGAGGGCAGGGCAAGGCAAGGAGGGCAGGGCAAGGCAGGGAGGGAGGGAGGGAGGGCAAGGCAAGGAGGGCAGGGCAAGGGAGGGAGGGCAGGGCAGGGCAAGGAGGGCAGGGCAAGGCAGGGAGGGAGGGAGGGCAAGGCAGGGAGGGCAGTGCAAGGCAGGGAGGGCAGGGCAAGGCAGGGCAAGGGAGGGAGGGCAGGGCGGGCAGGGCAAGGAGGGCAGGGCAGGGCAAGGCAGGGAGGGGAGGGCAAGGCAAGGCAAGGCAGGGCAAGGAGGGCAGGGCAAGGCAAGGCAAGGAGGGCAGGGCAAGGCAAGGCAGGGAGGGGAGGGCAAGGCAAGGCAAGGCAAGGCAAGGAGGGCAGGGCAAGGCAAGGCAGGGCAGGGCAAGGAGGGCAGGGCAAGGCAAGGCAGGGCAGGGCAGAGCACTGGAGGAGACCTGCACTGCTCTCTCTCTCTCTCTCTATCTCCAAAACAATATACTATTTTGGGGTTAAGTGCAAAGGAGAGTATCCATCTCCCTGTCAAATTCAGGGAAACTAAACCCTCCTCCACCGCAAATGCAAGGAATATTATTATTGTTTTCGAGTTATTATTGTTTTAGATTATTCTTGTTGTTTTAAATGACAATTCGTATTGTTGTTTTAAATTACTGTTACTGCTTCAAATAATAATAGATAGTAACGAAGGATTTTATGTTATTTTTATTGCAGAAAAAATTCAGCTGGTCGATAAATCGTTGAATGTTTATGTATAACCAGCTAAATAATATATATATATATTTGTCTCGATTTAGTTGCATCGTGTATTTGAGTTAAAACACTGTGTAATGTCACACTATTAATGTTAACTTGAAATCTATGTGTGTGTGTGTGGAAGGTGGTCAAATAATGGGACTGACTCGAATACGATTGGAAACTGGGCATTTTGACTATTTTACACAATTTTATGCAATGGCAGCAACACCAATATTCTGCATTTATGCACTTGTGATCGTTTGCAAGTATATATATATATATACACTATTTTGCTTGTTATACATAAACATCCAATAGCGCACATGTGAAAAGGGTTACACAAAGCAAAAGAGGGTCGGAGGTTAGTTTGCTGATTAAATGCCAATATGGGATATACACATCACAGCAGTTGTGTGGTGCTCAATAAACTCGATTTAAGGCCATCGATCTGAAAAAAGACACAAAAATACACAGGAAAAGGGGATCTGGTGTGATTCACAGCTCTGAGGTGACTGTGGGGAAATCAGCACTGGTCAGCAAGAAACTGCTTGAAATCTCAGTAATTATATATATATACACACAGTGTAAATATCAGTATATATAAATGCAGTGAGTTACAGACACGTGGTCAGTATCAACAGTTATTTTCTCTGGGAGAGAGAATGAGATCCACCTTCAAGCCCAGGATCAGCAGCTTCCAGATTAACAGACAACTTGTGGGAGAGTGTGGGGGGAAGAGGGAGGAGAGGAGAGGAAGGAGGAGAGGAGGAGAGAAAAGGAGGAGGAAGGAGGAGAGAAGATGAGGAGAGAAAAGGAGGAGAAGAGGAAGGAGAGGAGAAAAGAGGAAGGAGAGGAGAAGAGGAGGAGAAGAGGAAAGAGGAGAAGGGGAGGAAAGAGGAGAAAAGAGGAGGAAAGAGAAGAGGAGAAGAGGAAGGAGAGGAGAAGAGGAGGAAAGAGAAGAGAAGAGGAAGGAGAGGAGAAGAGGAAGGAGAGGAGAAGAGGAAGGAGAGGAGAAGAGGAAGGAGGAGAGGAAGGAGAGGAGAAGAGGAAGGGGGAGAGGAGGAGGAGGAGAGGAGGAGGAGTGGAGTAAAGACAAAACACCACCTCCCTGTGGGAGATCTCTCTCTCTCACAACACAAAGTGTATGAAAGAGCTTCTCGTATCGTATGCAAATAGTGGCGCTGACGTTCGGGATCATGTGTCCCCGCGGGGCTCCTGTCGGGGCTTTTCTTCTGCCTCTTTTTTCCATTTTGCTACATTTTCGCGTCCGATTCATTGTAGCCGAGAGACAGAGAGAGAGTTACAGGACATCAGCGGCCAGAGGCGCCCAGCCCAGCACAGCCCAGTACAGCATAGCACAGCACAGTACAGCATAGCCCAGCCCAGCACAGCATAGCCAGCACAGTACAGCACAGCATAGCCCAGCACAGCATAGCCCAGTACAGCATAGCCCAGCACAGCATAGCCCAGCACAGCATAGCCCAGCACAGCCCAGCACAGCATAGCCCAGCACAGCACAGCATAGCCCAGCACAGCCCAGCACAGCATAGCCCAGCACAGCACAACCCAGTACAGCATAGCACAGCACAGTACAGCATAGCCCAGCACAGCATAGCCAGCACAGTACAGCACAGCATAGCCCAGCACAGCATAGCACAGCATAGCCCAGTACAGCATAGCCCAGCACAGCATAGCCCAGCACAGCATAGCCCAGCACAGCATAGCATAGCCCAGCACAGCACAGCCCAGTACAGCATAGCATAGCCCAGCACAGCACAGTACAGCATAGCCCAGCACAGCATAGCCCAGCCCAGCATAGCCCAATACAGCACAGCATAGCCCAGCACAGCAGAGCACAGCCCAGCATAGCCCAGCACAGCACAGCCCAGTACAGCACAGCATAGCCCAGCACAGCACAGCCCAGCACAGCACAGCATAGCCCAGCATAGCCCAGCACAGCCCAGTACAGCATAGCCAGTACAGCACAGCCCAGTACAGCATAGCCCAGCACAGCATAGCCCAGCATAACCAGCCCAGCACAGCCCAGCATAGCCAGCACAGTACAGCACAGCATAGCCAGTACAGCACAGCCCAGTACAGCATAGCCTAGCACAGCATAGCACAGCACAGTACAGCATAGCCAGCACAGCACAGCCCAGCACAGCATAGCCAGCACAGCCCAGTACAGCACAGCATAGCCCAGCACAGCATAGCCCAGCACAGCATAACCAGCACAGCCCAGTACAGCACAGCATAGCCAGCACAGCCCAGTACAGCACAGCATAGCCCAGCATAGCCAGCACAGCACAGCACAGCCCAGTACAGCACAGCATAGCCCAGCACAACCCAGCATAGCCAGTACAGCACAGCATAGCCCCGTACAGCACAGCACAGCATAACCAGCACAGCCCCGTACAGCACAGCACAGCCCCAGCACAGCACAGTACAACCAGCGCAGCCCCAACACAACCAGCACAGCCCCAGCACAGCCCAGTACAACCAGCACAGCCCCAGTACAACCAGCACAGCACAGCAACACCAACAGCAACCAACAGCAGCAGGTAAGAAACTTTAACCCCCTCCTCCTCCTCCTCCTCCTCCCCCCCCCCCACACACACACACACAGAGAAAATAACATCCACATCTGCTTTCAGATCCTGTGCTCATTGCACCTCTCACTCACACACACAGAGAGAGGGAGAGAGAGAGAGCAGCACAGACACACACACCCCGGGGGGGGGGGGGGAGGGGGGAGAGGGGGGGAAAGAAATCAACTTAACACACGTCTCCCCGCAGCCGATGCCGTAAGTAGGGCGAAACATGGCGCCTGTGCACGACTCTCGGTTGCCGACATGACAGGGGCGATACCTCCTCCCCACACTGCTTAAAAGTGAATCGGAAGCGAAGAGAGAGAGAGAGAGAGAGTGTGAGACAGAGACAGAGAGAGGGAGAGGAGGAGGAGGTGGTGGTGGTGTGTGTGCGCTCCTCTCCAGCACCGCCCGCCCTCCCGCAGCTGCAGAGGCTTCATTCAGCTCTCAACGCGTTTATTAGGTGGAAAGTGGCCGACGTGAAGGTACATTTCCCCCTCTCTCTCTCTCTCTCTCTCTCCCCCTCTCTCTCTCCCTCTCTCTCTCTCTCTCCCCCTCTCTCTCTCTCTCTCCCCTCTCCCTCCCTCCCTCTCTCCCCCTCTCCCTCTCTCTCTCTCCCTCCCTCTCTCCCCCTCTCCCGGTGGGAATGGTGCCGATGACTGTGTTGCAGTCCTTGTGGAGCAGGAAATGCGCGTTGTCAGCCTCACATTCGGGGCTGAGGCTGAGGCTGTGGCCCTGAGCTGTGAGTGTGTGAGTGTGTGTGAGTGACTGAGTGCAGAGAGGGAGAGGGGGAGAGAGAGAGAGAGAGAGAGAGGGACACAGATGGGGGAGATATTTCGCTTCAAAATCCAACCCCGAACCCCCAATCGGATCCATCAAAGCGAAAGAGAAAGCCATCGCCTGATGGGGAAAATGTAACAAGTTCGGGCCATCTTGGGTACTTTTTTTTAAAAAAAATATAAAAAAAATATATATTTTTATGTATAAAACGGGATATTACCACCTGGAGTGCCAATGGGATAGAAACTTCAGAAGCAGTGCGGTGGGGGGGGGAGGGGTGGGGGGAGTGAGGGGGGGGACAGGGACTCAGAGAGTTCCCCTCTTTGGCTTTGGTTTATTTTGTTGGCGTGGGATTTAAATTTCCCCAACTCCAGTTTAAAGAGACAGAGAGTCTCAGCCCCTTGGCCTACTGCACTGTGACTGGCTGCCAAACAACAGCCCAAACCTCCCTTCCCCTTCCCCCTTCCCCACCCCCCCCCCTTCCCCACCCCCCCCACTGCCCCCAACATCCAAATCACTGCTCTGCAGTCTCAGGGAGGTGAGCCCCAGCATTGCTGCAAAAATGCCAAAGCTTTTTCAGTCAGTTCAGCTGCCTGGAGTAAGACCTTGTACCCTGGAGATTTTAAGTGGCACAGTCCTAACTAAGTGCCTTCCTTTAAGGATCTGGCTTGGCGGGGATTGAACTGCAGTTGTTTTGGGTACCGCCGAGGAGGACAGGGTGGGGGGGGGCTTTTCGCAAAGCGTTTTTAAAGCCTTGCCGTCGAATCTTGAAATGTTAGGGACACGTGAGGGGCTGAGCATCAGAGGGACTCTCCGCTCTTGTCTTTTTTCGAGCTTGCTCTTAGGCGGACAGCGTTTCGGAGCGGCCAAGCTCTGCGCTTCGCAACCACTGTGCGGGGAAGATTCCCCCCCCCCCCCCCCCCCCCCTTGCATTCGGTAAAGCGCTTTTCACGTCTTCTCGACGTCTCAAAGCGCTTCAAACTAATATGCTGTAAAGTGAATCGGCTGTGTATTTGTGGGCGAAACGCGGCAGACAATTGCGCACAGCGGTGTCCCACAAGCAGTCGTGGATTGAAAATGATCAATTTATTATTGTTTTGTTTTGGAGGGATTTTGAGGATGGAGAGCAAACACTTTGAAAGAAATATGTGTTCACAATTGCGTGTGTATAGAAATATATATATTTTAAACATCTTGTGGTAATAAAGCCCGGTGTCACATGCTTAGCCTAATAATGTGCAGATTTTTTGTTGTGAAAGCCAGTGGAAAACCACATCAGTGAATCCCACACTAATATCCCAATATTGTCTTATCCTACCTGCTTTGCTTACCAGCTTTCGTGACTTGGAATTACAGTATACAACAACAGCTAGCAAAGGTTTTTTTTTAAAAAACTAGTGAACATTAGACCTGAACAACAAAATTGAATGTTCCGTTGATTATGTAAAACAAAAACTTGTCTCAGGTCACTGCTCCCATCTGCAGAGCAAATTTGCATGGAGCTACACCACTACCAACCCCCAAACACAACCTTGTTTTGACTCTCTAGGTGTGACTGACTGACTCTCAAGGCTGATTGCACGTTATTTCTTTGAAACAACACCACCACCACATTTCACAGTGTGTTCTTGGCCATTTTGAAAATCCATTTGCTCTGTTATTAAAATAGTGTGCGTCTTAATTTCCTTTAATGAAAAAAATATGAAATGATCATCATTTCAGTCTGCACAAGGCCCGTTGCCTTGGAACCGTGCCAGCATAGGGAGCAGCAGCTGCATGTTGCCTACCCTCATGGTTTCTCTGGTGTTATAAGAGGACGGATGGATCAAATCTACTTAAATACCTGGCCTTGGACCAGCACAGAGGATGCCGTGGCTGGTCATTTTCAGCTATACTAAATAACACTGTTTTCATTGTATTTTATTTAAGGTGGCAGTGGGAGGGGTGCAGAGAGAAAAGAGTTCTACAGTATCTTTGAACCTGGGGGCCAAAATAAGTAAGTGAAGGATCTTAGGAGATGCTAACCATGCTTTTAACTTGTGGGCGGAAGCAACAGAATTATTTCATTCCCAAATAAGTTTAGTAACTTGCTAGTGCTGCCTGTAATGGTGAAATGCTGTGAATCCTAATGCCCTGAAAGTGTTACTAGAGTTAGCAGGGAACACTCCTTTTGTCTTTCAATGTTTAAGATTGCTTATCGGTTGTGGAAGACTTTAAATTGAAGTGAGTTTCCCGCATTTGTTAAAAATAGACAGCTACCAAATTAAGACTGAATTTGAAGAAATTGCCATTGTTCTGTGCGAATATAAATTTTTAGACAAAATGGCCATTACAGACTAAGACTAAGTGGAATGTAGGGCCTCTGGTGTTCAGTTATATAAATAAATTTATACTGCTCATAAATAGCCCAATTGCAGGAAACAATATTGTTGCCAACATTTTTGTTAAACATTTACAAAAATTCAGCTGATGAAATTCATAGTTGTGGGGATGGGGGGGGAGAATGCAACTTATACTTCTAAAGTGCCTTTCACATCAGAAGGGTGCCCCCAAAGTGTGTGACAATGTTGACTGGGCACCTGATTGCTTATAATTAAATAATATTTCAATGAACGTTGGTTAGAGCACTCGCCGCGAAAGCGAGAGAGCTGAGTTCGATTCCCGGCAGGGCGAAACATTGAGCAAGTTCCTTACTCCACACACTTCTGTTTACCTAGCAGTAAGTAGGAACCCGGTTGTTAGTCGATTGGCATATCACTTTTCTGGGGGTACTAATTCCTTCCAAAAGGTAATAATAAATTGGTCACTAATTTCACGACTTTGTGAGACACTACTATGCGCAATTGGCCACCACATTTCTCTCACAACATATGCAGTCAATTTGCTTTACAGTATATTCTGTGAAGTGCTTTGAGACGTCTTGAAAACATGATAAGGCACTGTATCAAATGCAAGAATTATTATTGACATTAATTCTTACTGCTGTTGTGAATAAGTTTGTATGACTGTTTGTGTGATTTTGCGAATTTCCAGTACTATTTCATGTAACTACAGTATCCTTATCTACAACCATTTGCTCTCTTCCCCTCTACCCACCACCTTTGCTCAAATGGCTCAGGTCATCTGCACGTCCCACATGCCTTCCGCTCCACTATTTGCGTCCATGCTTTCAGCCATTAGGTCCTGAAACTTCCTGTCTCAACCACTTTGTCTTGCCCCCCCCCCCTCTTTGCCCATCTTCAAATCACAACTAAAGACTCTTCGACTGTCGCCTCCCCTCTCTTTCCTGCTCAGAGACAAACCACGCGCTGTTAAATGCTCCAGACGCTACTCACATGAAGGGTGCTATATAGCAAGTTGGTGGTGTTGTAAGATGATCTGAGTTAAATTTACTGTCCCAGTGTTCAGCTCATTGTGGCCCCTAATTCAATTTATGTGGTTTGTGGCAATGAATCACTAGATTAAATGTTGCTTGGCTCTGTTTTCCTTCAGAGAAAGCAAACAAGCCAACCTCATGTGCATTGTTTGTGTTTTCTAAGTGTATAAAACATTTTTTGTATAAAAATAAGTTGGATCCCAAATAAAACACCTTAGGGTAAATTAACTTTGAACCGGTTACACTAAGAATTGTATTTCAAATCATCTAAAGGTTCACAGAATAAATTTGTAGTTGTGTGATGTAAACAGATGTGGTGGTGGTGGTTAGCTCAAACACACTTCTTGGTGCAAATGTCCATTCTGATTGTGATTGAGTGAAAGAGCTTCTATTGTTTTAGCCGATGCACCTCTTAACGTCCAATAAGCCCCAAATTTAGTTTTGCCTGACAAACAAAATCCAGTGTTCTCAAAAGTTAAAGGTGATAAAGGTGTCAGCAATTGTAAGTGGTAGAAATAGGGGTTGGTGTGTGTGCTGTCTAGTGTTGTCTAGTGGAGCTTATTGTGGGTGTGGCAGATGAAATAAAACCACAGGCACATAGAAGGCCTGTGTTTGCCTTCTCTTTTATTCCCCTCACCTACTGTGTTTTAAAACAAATTGCAATTCAATGTGCTCTTGCAAATGTTATTTTGTTTCATGACTCTTCCAACTTTCATTTAAAATATCCCTGTTTCAGAAGTTGTTTGAATTTGTTTCATCATCTTTATTTCATGCTGGTCGATGACTCAACGCTTCCTGCTGTAAATGGGGTGGTTTTGTGAACTTAGCGAAGCACGAAATGGGTTTGAGTGTTGAAACTGTTGCTGGTTGGAAAAGTTGGAGACCTGGATTCTCAGATATGATTCTGTTATGTTTCTAGTCAATATACACAGCTCTCAATGTATTCACAACAATCTTTACACAAACCAGGATGGAATCCGCCTCCAATATTTCCTCATGAGTTTGTTTGAGAGAAATAGGTTAATTTATTTTGGAGTCAATGTTTTAAAAAGTGATACTGTATGTGGGAGTCCCAAAAACAAAACCATTCCTCTCCTGCATGTTTTGTGGCGCTTTGGCCACTTCAAAAAGGCGCTTTGGCCACTTCTGCCCAGTACTTGAAACAGCCTTTCTGGATCAATTATCCACAATGTTTTTCATGTTGCATGTGCTGTTCTAATACAATATGTTGACTATGGGTAGGTTAGAAGGATGACTCACCACAAACGATACATTGAAGCTGTCATTAGACAGAAAACATATTCATCAGTGAGGATTGTCGCATTGTCTTTCACTGACTCCCAAAACATTTCAACTGAAGTAAATTATGAGGTTATGGGCTTGATAATTCACCTTAACTCTTATCTGCTCATGGGTTTCGCAGCTTTATGCCTGCGCCTTTACCATATCATGATAATATCAGTCTTACAAAGAAATGTTTTCTGTTGAAAACCAGTTCCTGTCTCAAATCACTTTTTTTGTGTGTACTGAAGTGTGTGTGTGTGTGTGTATATATTAGAGAGAGAAACGTGGAGAATATTTCTAAAAGTCTTAATTTATACTAGTAAGAACTTTTATTTGTTCTCAAATATGTTTGTTGGCTGTAGAAAGCTTGCCCTTTAATCTGGCACTTTAAGTGTAATTGTGTACTTTATTCTTATAAGTAAGATCCTTGCTGTTTGAAAAAACATTTCAACTGAATGTGGTTTATGGTCAATTTAGAATTTTTCAGCTTCAGAGGAAAAAGAATGCAAATGAAAGTTGAGTTTTAAGAAGACTGAATAATACAATCATAATCTCTGCATTTAATGTTGTGTTTTATCGCCTCCAAACATCCAAAAGCACTTTGCAATGTTTCTGTAAAGTTTAGTGACTGTGTAGGTGAGCATAGCAGTCAATTTGCACATGCAGTGCCTACAAACATCCATGAAATGAATGACCATTTTTCTTAATCTAGTGGATTGTTGGAATGAAAGAGGATAGGGTGGACTAGGAAATGCAAGTTTGGGTAGGTTCAAATTACAGTACATCTGGTGTTGCCTTGACAACAATTACAATAGAGCTTCACTGTATTAAGAGTCCTCTAATATTTCTAGTAACATTTTGAATAACATGACATTTATAAGTGATCCAACTGATTCATTTTGGACACCTTGTACCAATATCTATGGTGAGTGGGTGGCTTGTGACTTTGTGTCTTGTACCTTAGTGTTCTATGTTTATTGGACTGAGATAAGTCTGTCAAAGGCTGAATCCTCGATGTCCTGTTATTTGATGTACTGTATAGTCTCTCTGCAGTTCAGTTCTTGAAGTTCAGCACTGTGTTTAACCCTTTCCTAGTAAGATTTGTAGGGAAAAGGAAATAATATTTGTAATTTAAGATTGAAATATGTTTCATAGAAAGGTTGCAAGATTTAATCTGGTTAGTCAATTAAGATGATTCACCCTAAAATGGATTTTGTTGGGTTAGAAATCAATCTTATTTTTAATTAATAGGTATGTGATTTTAGTGCATTTTAATGAAGTCTATATGGTTTACTCAGCGATTTATAATATATGTGAATAATAGCCTCAAAAATTTACCTACATCATTGAATTTATTTAGTAAAATCTGGATCTGTTCCAATAAAATTAGCTAGCAATTTGTGGGATATTGCTTTGCGCAAATTGGATGCTACATTCACCTACAAAATAGCAACTCCATTTTGGTGTATATCCCGTGAAGCCCTTTAGGACGTCCTCCCAACATGAAAGCCGCTATACCAAATGTTAGGATTATTATTATTATCCCAGGTATAATCTGAATATTACCTCATATGTAATTTGGATCTGAACTTCTCAGGTCTCTTATTTAAAAGCAGCAGAGAAGCGTTATTTTTGGCGTATTACAACAAACATAACTGCCTTTCAAACTGAGATTATATAATTGATTGTAAATGATTTATTAGGATGTAGGACAAGTTGTGAATAGATATTTACTGCTACATTTCCAGAAATAACTTTTTCCACACAAATGCATTACAGAAAGTATTGATTTAATTAGCTTTGGTAAACTGAAAAATAGATGTTAGTTTGTAATGAGATTTTAATACTGTTATTAAGCAAGACAGTGTTCTTTTTTTGTTTTCCAAATTAATTTCAACAACTTTCATTTATATAGCACCTTGATGTAGGGTGACATCTTGGATCGCTTTACAAGAACAGGGGCAGACATGAAAGGGGGAGTGGGAAGAAGGGATGGCCATGAGGGTATTCAAAGAGGTAGTTTTGAGATATGTACTGACAAAACTGAAAAGGTAGCGAGACACTGGCGTAGAAGGGAGTTGCAGACATTAGGGGTGGTGGTGGTGCAGAGAGAGCAGGGGATGTGTAGCAGCCTTAGTTAGCCAAGAGGAGGGATGAGCAGAGGAGTAGGGCAGAAGATCAACAAGATAAGAAGGTGCCAGTGGCTTGAGTGGATGGATCTGTAGGTGAGGGTAAGGGCCTAGGAATCAATCCATAGGGAGATAGTGGACAGTTGCAAAAACTAGGGTGATTATCGCGCAGAGTTTGCTGCTGGTTCCAAGCAGCAGAATTTTGGAGAGCTGGAGTTTGTGAATGGTGGAAGTAGGGAAACTTCTCAAAATGCTTCACAGTATTTTATTGTACCGTGTTTTGGCTGTGTATTTGTATGCGAATGCGGCAGCCAATTTGCTGTAGCACAGTAATCTCTCAAAAAACAGACATGAAGTGAATGATTAGTTTTATCTGGAGGATTGTTGGCCAGGACACTGGGGGAACTTCCTTGTCTTTTTGAATAATGTATGGAGGTATGATCTCATACAATCCATGCCTGTGCAGAATAAAACTAATACATAATAATAATAATCCTTGCATTTGATATAGCGCTTTTCACGTCTTCTAGGTGAAACGTGGGACATTAAAAGTTATGGGCAGATTGTCGGAGACCCTCTGGGGTCAGTGCTCTCACTTGAACGCTGTCCAATGTAAAACAGCATAAGCAGTTTCCCCTGTTTTTCCACCCATATTCCTACAGGTAGTTTTTTTTTGTAAAGTTTGAATCATGGAGATATTTCTTTCTGCTGTTCCATTCATCCCTATTTCTTTCTTTTGCCTTTGCCTTACTCATGCCCAAGAGGAGGCAGAAACTCCCTTTCATTTACGAATGGGATCTTTGATGTCCACCCTGTATATCACACCGAAATGTCAGTCATAAGTAGGCTACAGTGCTAACTAAAACATTGTCCCTCAAGAGCTAAACTGTTATATTAATACCACATTGTGCCAACCTTTCACTCTCTCTGCCACTCACTCACTCCTCTTTCTGTCTGCCTCTGTGTTTCTACCTGCTAATCAAGCTCTGCAACTTCTGTGCCTCCAACTGGTGGAACCGTCTCTCAATGGATTAAATTCCTTCAAAAAAAATTAATTGGTCACTCAATTGGCTGCCGCGTTTCACCCACGAAATATACAGTTAATTCACTTTACTGTATATTACGTGAAGCGTTTTGAGACTGCTCGAAGACGTGATAAGGCGCTATATGAAATGCAAGGATTATATTTCTGTTATTAGAGACGTGTACCTGAGCTATCGGTAGAAGGGCCTTTGCTACTGGCTATTCACCGGTGAGGGATCAAACCTGCGCTTTATGGTGCTGAGTGACCAACTAGTGATTTTCCTTATGGGCGGGGGGGTGGGGGTGGGGTTTGTTGTGGGGAGAGAGAAGATGTGAGCGTGGTCTCCTTGGTACTGAACTGACTCCAAGGTCACAAGCTTGCCAATGGATTGAGTTAACCCTCTGTGGCAGTCTTGGTAATAATAAATATAATTTCCAAGTGCTTCACAGATTACTGTAAAGTATAGTCACTGTATTTTGCCTGTGAACGTGGCAGTCAATTTGCTCACAGCAATATCCCACAAACAACCATGAAGTAAATGACTCATTTTACTTAGAGGATTGTTGGCTTGGAGAATGGATGAAACTCTTCTCTTTTTGAATAGTGCAAAGAATTTTTAGCATCCACCTGGACAGATAGGTAGGGCCTGGGTTAACATGTCCACCCTGTATATCACACCAAAATGTCAGTCATAAGTAGGCTGGGTTTGTGGAGTCCTGTAGCTCAGTGGTTAGAGCACTCGCTTTGCAAGCGAGAGACCTGAGTTCAATTCCAGGCAGGGCGAAACCTTGGGCAAGTTTCCTTACTCCACACGCCTAATAATAATCCCTCCAAAATCAATAATAAATTGGTCATTTTCAATCTAAGACTGTTTGTGGGACATTGCTGTGCGCAATTGGCTGCCGCGTTCGCCCACAAATATACAGTCAATTCACTTTACAGTGTGTTCTGTGAAGCGCTTTGGGACGTCCTCCCGACGTGAAAAGCGCTATATCAAATGCGAGGATTATTATTATTATTAACATCTCAACAACAACAAGATTCCATTTATAGAGCGCCTTTCACGTCGGGAGGACCTCCCAAGGCGCTGTAAACTCATTCGAAGGTGGCATCTTCAGTAATACAGCACTCCCCCAGCACTTCATTGGAATGTCATTGTAGACTATGTGAGTTTAAAGTACCAACATGGTGCTTGAAAGCACAAGTCTATTTCCTGAGATGCAGTGCTCCCAAGGCGCTCTGGGAAACCAGGCTGTAATTCCGGGCTCATTCCTGGGAAAACAATGTGCACACATCATCGCTGGACACTGGGGGGAAAAAAGCACAGATTATTCCATTTAAAATCAAATTGAAGAGAAAATAATTTTTTTACCAAGTGACTTTCAACAAAAAATACATTGTTGAAAATGGTTTTCTAAAAAAAACTACTTTAAGAGACCTTGTATATGTTGTTACCTTTTCCTTTGTTGCTAGAGTTTTATTTGTTCTATTTCTTTTAACCACCAGAGCAGTTGTAGGTGGTCCAGACATGCATTGTGCTGTTCTCAAGGTTTTAAGGCTGTACAATCCAGTAAGAAGTTTGGGTTGGATAGTCCTTAAATGGGGGATAACTAATTGTGCTGTAATTTGTTGTGTAACACTTGGGGAATACAAGTTATTAGTAGGCTACGTTGAATTAAATACTGTAAAGATAGCTAGAAAAAAACATTGTAAGCCAACGACAGGTGCATTTGATTCTTGCAGTGAAATATACTGTAAATGTTATTTTCTTTTACCGTAACCTTGCCTTTCTGGTCCATCCAAAATAGGTAAAATTCCAATAACAAACACCAACAAACCAAAAAGAGAAGAAAAGTAATGAATCACGTTTGTAGCCTGGACTGTGTTAAACTACCAGCTAGAGACAGGGCATGAGGGAGCGAGAGGAAAAAGAGGTGAATGAAAGCTGCAGTACTTTTATTAACTGTACTTTTATTACTGTGGTGTACTTACCACATGGCCTGCTAAGTGTACTGCTACTGTTCTGCACTCTTAACAGGGAAGTGCTTGGCTAAGCTATGCTTTTTTTCATCTCAGTGGGAAGGGACAATTTTCTTGCCTTAACCAGGTACAGGGGAGAAGGGAGACTGGTTTATCCAGTTATGCTTTGCTGAGTTATATGCCGTTGTGAACCAACATAAGAGGCTGATGTTGAAATAATTCACGGATATATTCATTGCTAAAACAGCTTGTGTCATCTCACTAAGAATGGAGGCATTGGAGAAGCAGAGATAGTAAAAACTCGTAATACAGAAATTTGATTATTTTCTTGTTTGGGTTTGAAGAGAAATTGTTTACATTTTTTTAAACTTTTTTTTACAGATTTAGTCACCTTAGTCCTACGTTAACAAATTCCCCGCCGCAGTCGAGACCCAGTGTTACAAGACGGAGATTCTCCGAAATTGTACATAGAGGTTCGTGAGAAAAATCTGTCTTTGTGTGTGTGTGTGTGGGGGGGGGGGGGGGGGGATCTTCTTTGCAAACCACACACCGTGAGGTGGGGGTGGGGTTGTCGAATGGCGTAGTGTGTCAGTACAAAGAATTGCAGCAAGGGAGACCTGGCCTGACCTAGCTACCACTCAGCCTCGGGCTTCACCAGACGGCAAGTTGAGTTGTCAGTTTCAGTTGGGTAAGTGAGAGGTGAGGGAAAGATATTGTAGTTGTGGGGGGGGGGTGCTCCATCTAATAAACCTACTCAGGGTGGGATTTTTATACAGGGGTGTAAGATCCAGACATGGTTTAATAATGAAATCCCTTATTATTACACTGTGGCTGCTTCAGTTTATTCCATTTATAATATCTCAGTGATCACACTGAGCACAGAGAGCTCCGAAAGGCCCAATTCATTCTGGTTGCAAGGAACCTGCAGATTAATGTGTTGCACCTAGACGACTGTTAAGTTAAGCACAAAGCTTAATGGCAGACCTAGCCCGGTGGCTAAGAGCAGCATTGTCAGAAGTTGTGTTGTTGTCGGTAGTCGCCCTCTGTTGAATGATTGACTGCAAATACTCATTCACTAATATAATAGTTATTTTTAACCTAATACTTTTTTTTGAGGGGTGAATACCTCCTTCCTTTAAAATATTCCTATTATGTTACAAGTGACCTTTTATATACAGGATAAAGACAATAGGGTTCATTTTGAGGTATCTCTTAATGGGATTCTGTGATCAAGGAATTCAAAAAGGAACATCTTGCAGTGACTGGACATACGTGCTAACAATTTGAGGGAATCAAATAGGTCAATAATTGGAAAGCAAACCCTGAGCCTAGAATCATAGAAGTTTACAGTGCGGAGGGAGGCCATTCGGCCCATCAAGTCTGCCCCAAGTCTCAACAAGCTGTTCATTCAATCCCATTGCCCTGCCTTATCCCCATATCCCTTCAAGCCTTCATCTTTCAAGTACCTGTCTGTCTACTTACCTCTTGAAACCTGCAGAGGATTCTGCTTTTACCACCTTATTCGGCAAGGCATTCTACATCCTCTTGTGTGAAAACAAATTCTCCTAAACTCCGCTTTTCGCTCTTATAACTATGTGCATGTGTCAGCCTGCCTCAGTGGAGACATTCTCACCTCTGAGTCAGAAGGTTGTTGAAATCACATAGTCTAAGCTGACACTCCAATGCAGTGCTGGGAAGGAGGGTTATTGCATTGTTTGGAGGTGCTGTCCTTCGCATGAGATATTAAACCGAGGTCCTGTCTGCCTGGTGTACGTTAAAGATCCCATGGCACTATTAGAAAAGAGAAAGGAGTTTCTTCTGGTTTTCTGACCAACAATCCATTGAACAAAATTGGTCATTCACTCCATGGGTGTTTGTAAAACATTGCTGTGCGCAAATTGGCTGCCTTGTTTATCCACAAAATACAGTAATTCCACTTTACAGTATATCCTCTAAAGTGCTTTGACACATCTCATCAATGTGATAAGGCTACTATATCAAATGCAAGGATTATTTTATTATGTCCCCAGGTCAGTCACTCATCTGCTCAGTGGTTAGAGCACTTGCTTTGCAAGCGAGAGACCTGGGTTCGATTCCCGGCAGGGTGAAACCTTGGGCAAGTTTCCTTACTCCACACCTGATAATAATCCCTCAAACAAAAACAATAATGAATTGGTCATTTCAATCCACAACTGTTTGTGGGACACTGCTGTGCGAAATTGGCTGCCGCATTTCACCCACAAATATACAGCCAATTCACTTTACAGTTTATTCTGTGAAGCGCATTGAGATGTCTAGAAGACATGAAAAGCGCTACATCAAATGCAAGGATTATTATTATCTACCTGCTAGTGGAAATAGCATTCTAACAATGACTGCCTCATTACAGTGAGGCCAGTTATCAAGGTCAGTCAATAATCAATAATCGAATGTTCCTGCTAAATCCACATTCATGATATTAATGAAACCAAATGATTTGGTTTCATGAACGTCGTGTTTTGCCCACAAAATATACAGTCAATTCACCTTACAGTATATTTCTGTGAAGCTCTTTGAGACGTCTTCAAGATGTAATAAGGCGTTATATCAAATGCAAGGATTATTATTATTTGTCGGGAACAATTATCAATTATTAAATTTTTGTTTTCCATTCTTTGAAAAAACGTTTTACTTTTTTTCTCTCTTCCCTGCCACATTTCATTGTTAGTGTCTGTTAGCACTGCTGATGTACAAATGATATTAATTATTATATGGTTTAGTGCCTTTTTGGCTCGTGCAGGATGTGAAGCTTCATGAGGCATGCAGTGAATTTCCAATCTGTGACACACTCCTGTCTAAAGTCGTGACCAAAAACTTTCTTATAAAAGTACCAAACTTAGAGGTTACTCAAAAGACAAGGAGTTTGATCCTGTTCAGTACCTAAAATGTAAAGCAAACCCCAGTGTAACATAGCATAGAGCACTAGCCACCTCATACATCTGGCACATTTTTTGAAAGGCTTGCTTTGTCAACGTAATGTTTTTAGCCTTTTCTTTTTGTTAGTGGAATAGTTTCGAGGTGCTTTAAAGTTTTTAGCTAAGGTGTCACTTTTAAACCGATCCCAATTGTGTTGTAATGATGGTTTGAGGCTGCTTCTTTTGAGCAGCTGCTGCTGACGGGAAGCTGAAACCATAGAGTAATGAACCGTCTGTTTCCCGGCGGGAATGTGAGCTTTTTAATTGGTGGCTTTATTGAAGTTGTCATGAATGAAAATGGTTACTAGGTTTGTGCTGACTAAACAATTTATTACAGAATTTAAAATTTCAGTTGACAAGCCAGTTTTAGCCTTGTCTGTTCCCTTCATCCCACTAATGATCAATGTAGCATTTGCACTATGATTATGGGCATATTGGTGGGACGTGACACATAAGGGCGAGCTGTCATTCAGAGCCAAAGTATTTATCTTAGTTGCGTTTTTGAAACTCACAAAACAATATGTTAACCATTTATTGAATGCCATCTTACCATTGGATGAAGACCAAGCTCTCACAGCTGTTTTATTTGCTTTACGTTAACCAAGTTGATTTGATCCAAATCAGTGCCAGAGGTGCAATTGGTAATGTTTAACCCATAAAATTGGATTTGGGATAATTGTTTTCTAAGCACAGTACTTAAGCCTTTCCTAAACCCAACAACATCGCTTCTGCTTCAAACCCTAAGCAGAGTTTCAAGAGCCTCTCAAATTTAAGGAATTCTAAATTCAAATGTGAGGGTCTTGTTGTATTCTCTTCAAAGTTTTCCCTCAATTGGTGCAGATTTATGATTTATAATGTATATTAGGGACTGGGAAGTGTTTGACCTCTATTGCAAAGTTGTAACTGTAACACATGGACTATCTACCAGTCCAGGGCTGATTTCTAATAAACCTACTCAGGACAGGCTTTTCGTCTGGATGTGCAAAATCCAGCCTTGTTTAACAATGTGTCCAGTATTACAGTGTGACTGTTCCAGGTAACGTATCTCTTGAGATCACATTGAGCACAGAAGCTCCAAAGTCCCCATTTATTCTGATTGCAGAATAATATGCTACATCTAAATTACTGTTAAGTTAAACATGAAGCTTAGTGGCACATATTTTCGAGGTGTGACTCCTCCCTATTTTTGTGCTTGACTTAAAACTGCTCCGAGTACATCTCCGTGTCACCCATCAGGGGTGGGGTATAACAGAGATTTTCTGTATTTAGGAGTGTTTACCCTAGAAATATAAGAATAATCCTTACGTTTGATATAGAACCTTTCAAGTTTCTCAGGATATATTGTGAAGTGGAGTGATTGTATATGTTGTGTGTGAACATAGAATATACTTTTAGGCTTTCAAAACCTACAGGACCCAAATTGTCTCTTCTCTGGTGGACAAAGGAGACAAGATTCTTCCTTCCTCTCCTCCCCCCTCCCCCCCTCCGCCTCCTTTAGGGAGTAGAGAAGAAAACTGGCACATGTGCGCTCACCTTTCCAGATGTCACTTTCATTCTACACTCCAGTGGTTGGAATGAAGCACTGGGCAGCCCTCCACTCAGAAAGCAGAGAGCAACCTAACCATCCAGACAACCTTCCCACAAATCCACAGGACAATACCCTGCAGCAAAACAGAAAAGATAGAAATGGATCCAAACTAGTGAACGCACTGTTAATAATGTTAATGACAAAGCTGAGAGTAATTGTTTGTTCGGCTGCAGCTATGACTTTCCCTCTCCACTCCAAGTCTAATTCAAAGTACAGAGTTATTCATTTGTTTTATTTTCCCCTCACCTACCCACACGCGTAACCATCCTGATATTATTTTCCCTTCCCTGGCAGAATATGTCTAAATGTGGTGAAAGCATTGAGTCATGCTTCAAACCAGTTTTGTACTGCACACAAAAGAAATTATTAAACCAGTCAGTCTGATGTAGGTTCCAATAGACACAGAAAAGACTGTTAGGGCATCGACAAGTTGTTTGTAGGGTAGCAGTGCTAACTCATTGAGATTTGTAATAATTCTTCAATGTATTAACTGATTTAGAAAATACTTGGTTTTCTGCTTCATTCAATATGAACTTACCAATAATTCTAATAAGCCTGTGTGTCAGCCTGTTTCAGTTGGTAGTACTCTCGCCTCTCAGTCAGAGTGGATTCAAGCTCCAAATCAGGATGTGGAACTCATATAGTCTCAGCTGACACTCCAGTGCGGTGCTGGGGTGTACTGTATTGCCATTCTTTGAATAAGATATCAAACAAGACCCTGTCTGGCTGTTCAGGTGAATTAAAGATCGCTTGGCACTATTCAAAAAGAGAAGAACCAATAATCCCACAAATAACATTGGTCATTCACTCCATGGCTATTTGTGGGACATTGCTGTATGCAATTGGCTTCCGCATTCATCCTCAAAACATAATCACTCCACTATGCAATATATCCCTTGAAGTACTTTTTGACATCCTCTTGACGTGAAAG